CTGGATTACGTGGCTTACCAGGACCACCGGGTCCTCAAGGTACGCCTGGTGAAGATGGTGACAAAGGAGAAACTGGACCACCTGGTGAGAAAGGTCTGAAAGGAAGTAGAGGGGAACCGGTAAGTAGAATTTAAGTACTTATTCTGTCAATATGATTAAATAATGAAATGTTTTAGGGCCCAATAGGTTCGACCGGAGCACAAGGGCCACGTGGTGAATCTGGTCCACCTGGATCGCCAGGTGACAAGGGACCGCCAGGAGAGACTGGTCGAAGGGGTATTAAAGGTGAAGATGGAAAAGCCGGTCTACCAGGACCTGCTGGTAAACCAGGCGTTCAAGGTTTACCAGGGCCAGCAGGCTTTAAAGGTGAGCGCGGTGATGATGGACTGATGGGCTCAATAGGACCACCGGGTTTGCCAGGAGAACAAGGCAGAAGAGGATTGAAAGGTTTGTTGTTCAAATGAATTTTAAGTTTAGAAATACTATTTCCATTTTTTTTTGTAGGAGTGCATGGGCAACAAGGAAAACCTGGACCCCGTGGTCCTCAAGGTGCAACGGGTTCAGATGGACCGCAAGGGCCACCAGGTCCTGTGGGTCCTATTGGTAAAACAGGGGAACCTGGATCAGCAGGCCCTAAAGGAGAACAAGGTAAATCTGGACCAATCGGCCCACCTGGCCGCCAAGGCATACAAGGTCAAGAGGGACCGAAAGGCACTGTTGGGCCACGTGGTTATCCAGGCGCGAGAGGTGAGCCCGGTTTGATGGGGCCAAAAGGTGACGTGGGACCTGACGGTGAGGATGGAAAACCAGGCGATCAGGGACCAATCGGAGATATAGGACCAGAAGGCAGAATAGGTGAACCTGGCCCAACAGGAAAACAAGGTCCTGAAGGCCCAGCTGGCTTACAAGGAAACCCTGGACCAATTGGGGAAAAAGGAGATAAAGGAGATTTGGGGCCACAAGGACCCCAAGGTATTTTAGGCCCACAAGGGTTACCCGGACTGCAGGGACAACCTGGTACAAGAGGATTGCCGGGTGAAGTGGGTGAAACCGGTTTGCCCGGGCCAGAAGGTGTACCCGGAAAAGAAGGCAGTATTGGAGAACCAGGACCAGCCGGACCTAAAGGTGATCGTGGTAGACGTGGGCCGAAAGGCCATCGTGGTGAATTAGGAATGGTGGGATTGAAAGGTGATCAAGGTGAAAAAGGTGATCGCGGCTTACGTGGCCCACATGGAGCAGAGGGACGCAAAGGCGAACCGGGTCCTGTAGGAGCCCTCGGACCTAAAGGCAATGACGGTCCACAAGGACACACTGGACTAATCGGTCCACCCGGACCTAAAGGAACTGAAGGACAAGCGGGCAATAAAGGTGACACGGGCCAACCGGGACCGGCTGGACCACCGGGTGCACCAGCTGAGGCACCACTTATACCACCAGAACTGCTCTTCCAAATGCAACAGTACTCAGGCACAAAAGCGGAAATACGTCGACGACGCGATGTAGACATGCACGAGGATTTAGCGCCATTTGAGGAGGATGATGACTTCAATGAAATTATGGGAGTACTCTCCGCGCCAGAACCTACAATCGCTACACAAGACCATCACAAGAAATCAAAGCGAAAACGTAAGAAGAAGCCAACACCACACGGTGAAGCGGGTGCGGCCGGTAAATTGGTGGATATGTACAGCGCCATCTACAGCATGCGTTTAGAAATGGATCGCATGCGCAAACCGACTGGCACCCAGGACAACCCCGTGCGCACCTGTCGTGACCTACACTATGCGCATCCACAATTCGAGAATGGTTGGTATTGGGTCGATCCGAACGCCGGCATGCCCGACGATGCAATCTACGTCTACTGTAACATGAGGGCCGGCGGCGAGACCTGCATACAGCCGGATGCGCACACAGCTGAAGCGCCATTGGTGCCGCGACGTCAAGCCGGCCAACCTGACTGGTATTCACGCCTAAATGGTGGCGAAAAAATCACTTACGACGGCGTGGGCACAGTGCAGCTGACGTTCTTGCGTCTGCTAACTGATGAAGCGCATCAAAATTTCACCTACATCTGCAGCAATTCGGTGGCTTGGTACAGCGCAGCGGCAAAGAGTTATGCACAGTCGCTGCGGTTGCTTGGCGAAAACGACATGGAAATCGCACACGAGGGTACAGATATTAAACCGGAAGTGCTGCGCGATGAGTGTCAGGTAATTGGGAGTCCATTTCTTAGAGTTCTTGAATCCAATCTTCTTTTTTTGTCTAGCAACCGAATCAGCATGGCGAGACTGTGCTATTGATACGTACCAAACGGCTCAATTATCTGCCATTAGTGGACTTCTATCCACAGGACTATGCGCGTACGGATCAAGCTTTTGGCTTTAAGGTTGGGCCAGCATGCTTCAAATGAGGCATAACAAAAACAAATAGCACATATAATGTTGTAAAGAGAGCGAGAGAGAAAGTGTACGAGCGAGCTGAGAATTTTAAAAATATTTATCTAGTAAAAATATACCAACAACACATAGAGTTAATTACACCATAGGCATAGAAGTTTGAACTTAATCGACTGCCATAATTGTATAAGAAATCTATAAGCATTCGAATTGTTGTAAGTGTATTTAGTTTTAACGGTTTTTATTTGTTTATTTCAACACTATTTTAAGCTGAGAGAGTCTTTTGTTGTTACATAAGTTTTTTTTACATGAATTCAATACAAACATAACGGTAACAGTTAAGTGAAATAAAAAATAGTGATTATAAAATCAAGTGAATATAAAAGATGAAGTTAGTTTAGCTTAAAGGGAGCAATAATAACCGAAGTCTTACAGTGGCTTACTATACTGTTAGGACAAGTTAACATGGTTCAAAACTTTACTGAGCTGCAGGAATATTAATGCAAAATAAAACGAAGCCAGTTGAGCTTCAGAAAAAATTTAAAAGAAGAGCGCGCAAGCTTATGAAGTGTCAAGCCAATCATGTCATATACAGAAAATGACATAAAGAACATCAATATATATATACGCCTGTAGACAGGCGACAATTAAAGCAGTACGGCTGCATATTATATTATATATACAGGGTTTTCAGACCACAAAGGCTTTTTGGCAAACGAAATAGCTGATGATATTGCCAAAAGTGCCATCCGATTGTCTACCGAACCAGTACCAGAAATACGAAAGTCGCTAAAAATGATATACGATGAAATTTTCGAAATGACTGACGGAAGGATCAAGGGGAGATGGATGCCTTAAAGACATGCAGGATCGCCAAGATCATCTGAGTGCCAAGGATACGGAAGGAAAACACACATGCTTTTTTCTCACATGGTCTCGAAAAGAGACCTGCAGTTCTGCAGGGTTGTTGACCACGTTTCATTTCACAGTTTACTGGCAGTGCATGCGAGCTGTATGGACATTATTAACGATAACACGTATAGAAAGTGCAGAGAAGTAGGCAAGAGAGAGACGCTGGAACAGCTCCATCGGACATTACAAAGGACCTGTAGGTCTATGTATGGCGTGACAGCTAGCCATTATAACAAAACATAATTAACCTCTTAAATCATCTCTGAAAAAGGCCGTTCTTGATATTACTTTCGTTAGGTCCTATTGTTCAAAACGCCAAAACAAAACTTTCTACAAAAAGTTTTAAAGCTATATTAATACATCTTGGTCGATTCAACGCCATTACTTGATTCTTCAAGCGCCTATATACATACATATCTGCTTTTTCTTTCAATTAGTAAACTATATACAAATATTGGTTTATGTATGTATGAGTAATAATCAATTTTTATTTGTACTAATTTTTGCTGTGGCACGTAAACTTTCGAAATTATACATTTTTTAAGCAAACGAAAAAAAAAGTACAATCCAGTAAGGTGACTACCTGCTCTCCGCCTACCTTTGATCATTCTCATAATATCTCATAGTACTTTATGCAAAATTTTCGTTTTCTTTTTTTTTGTTTTTTTAAAGCAAAATTTTTTTCTCCAGCACATTTCTCACTTATTCATTTTTCCAGCATTTCCTACAATCATTCGCATAGCATTTGTTTTTAATGCGTCCCGCTCACCGGTCAGCGCTTACCCACCCACTCGTCATACATGCTTGGCTGTGTGCTTGTCGTTTAGCGTTGCAAGGCAAAAGGATTAGTGCAACACTCTATGCATAAACATTTTAGCTGAAAAGCACAGTGATAACTAGGCAGAATAAATGTTTGGGTTTTACTTTAATAACTGTGTTTTTCTCTCTGCTTCTTCACCTTTTTGGTTTTTTTTTTGGTTTTTCTCTTTATTTTCTCTTTATTTTCAGAATCTTCTTCCAGCACGCTCGTCTTGTGTGCCTCATGTCCATAGTCAATGTTTCACTAATGCATTTCTACTTTAGGGCATTAGTAAGAGTTTACCCGAAAAATTCATATTTTTTACATAAATCATAAAAAATGCACCCACACACATACAGACACAAATAGTCTCACTCAGCTTCATTAAACGCTTTTCTTTTGAATTAATTTTTATTTTATAACCTGAACAGTGTTTGAGATTTTATTTTGATCCGAAATTTTGCAAAGTGCTTTTCTCGTTTGTCAGAATCGTCGATTTCAGGCCACTATAGCATATAACATACATAACTGCCATACAAACTTATCGCTCAAAATCAAGTTCTTGTAAAAAAAACTTTTTTGTTTGACAGAATATCTTCACTATATATGATGTGTATTATTTTTTAAGGCTTCAATATTCAAATACATTATTAAAATCGGATCACTATAGAATATAGCTGCCATACAAATTTATCGCTCAACATCAAGTTCTTGTATGAAAAACTTTTTTGTTTGACAATATATCTACACGAAAATTATTTATAAATTTATTTATAAATTCACTTGTTAAGGGTATTATAGCTTCGTTGTAACTGAAATTAACATTTTTCTATATTTTAGTTTATTTCATTTTCCTCATTTTTCATCATGCATTTTTTAACTCCATCTTTCAGCTTCATTTGTATTTGCCTCTTTCACACCCAACACATTCACCAACGGGACATCATTTCATTACATTTGGTTTTAAGTGAAAATGTTAATAAAAAATGCGTGAAAGAAATATGAAATCACATTAAAAGGATTGTAATACCAGCGCCTAAACAAATACTCAAAAAAATGCTTAAAAAGTGCTAGTAATCTGCAATGTAGCACATTTATGAAGAACGTCAATAACCAACGTTGGAAGTGCGGATTGTCGCGAGGTACATACAACATACATATCTACATATTTTTATTTTTGTAGTGTTGTAGCAAAATGTTTGAATTTTCGGGTGGAAAATGCGTTAGAATTTTTTTACAGTTTTTTCTAGCGGATTTTTGCGTGTTGGTATAATTTGGGGTGGCTCACTGATGGTGAACTTGTAATCGTCTCAGTTTATTTTTTTGTTTTATTGGAGATATTAGTTGAAGGAACTGTTAGCATTTGAACCCAACTGCAGTAGAAAGGTGTAAATTGTAAATGTTTTTGGTCTAACTTTAGAAGAACATCTGATAAAGATAAGGCTTGGGCGGTATACCTTGTACTCTCTAAGAAAACGGTTTTCTGTTAATTTATGCTTCTACGTTACCGTAGGGATTTTGTTTTATAACTCGATATTTTTACAGATTTCGTAGTTTTTGCCCTCGATTACATAGTTGTCAATATCAGACGACTTGCAACCCTTAATAATTTCACTGCGTAGAATGATGAACGGTCAGAAAGTCTCTAGGACCAAGATGAATACTATCAAAGGCAAAGAAGATGAATTTAATTTCAGGAAAAGTTAATGAACAGTCGAAGTGCCTTCTAAAGCTCTTTAATGTCCACTACGTTCATTCGCGACGAAGCATAGTAGATGAATCCACAGAAATTGGGTCGTACTCTAGATATGAAACTGGGGACTAATTAACTTCAATATTATAGTGTCACAGTTTTCAGTGCCGTGTTATACTTCTGATTTTATACTAGTACATTGGTAATATATGTATTAGAGTGGATAAAAAAACTATTTTTTTGCTTCGTAGTCTGAAAAATTAGTTGATATCTCTCCAAGTATGCGCTTTTAATTGTAACGGGAGGATTCTTCACCTTACAGTTTTCTATGTTTTTCTTATTATCAAATGGAAAAATTCATATATCGCTTCCAACTATTTGAAAAAATATCTCGTTTCATAGTTTTTGTAGGAAATTGAATGCTCTACAAAATGTTCTCAAACGATACGGTCGTAAACCTAACCGTTTAAATACCGTTAAAATATTAATGGTTGAAGTTGGATTATTTTAATACAATTTTTTTTTCTTATGAAATTTATAACTCAAACATTTTAAACTGCAAAATTCATAGTTTTGTAGCAAATTTACTGCTACTCCCTATTTTTCAGAGTATCAAGCGAAAAAAAAAATTAGTTTCTTTTACCCATCCTAATATGTATATATTGGCTGTCTCAATGCCTCTGTCAAATTTGTGTCAGGCTCATGGCACTTTGTCGATATGCGAAGGTATTTTTATAGCATATCTGTCATATGAGTTCTTGTCAGCACAACAGACGGTCGTCTCCAGTTGACCAAGTGTGATTATTCCTGACCTCACGTGGACTATTTACCTAACCTATACTTCTGATTGCTCAATGTTCCCTTGACAATTTGTAATTAAAATTTTGTTCCAAAAAGCCTTATGGCTTTACATTGTTTTGTATATTATATATTTTTAAATGAAGTCTATATCTATATATTACATAATGTATTCAACAAATATGAATTCTTACTAAAAAGACATTGAATTCCGCAACTGTTTTCCCTTTTATGGTCCAATATGTGTGAAATGCGTAGTCACCTGCGGGTATCGGTCAACAATTATCTCTCCCTTTGAGAAAAAAAACCTAAATATGAATTAATAATTAGATATAAAATAATGTTAGTTAAGAGTTTATATTTTATAATATTGTAGTTTTTAATAATTGTTGGTTTCCAAATTAATTACATACTAAAGCACTTACGTAGGTTGCACTCTGAACGCAACAATCGCCTCATCAGGTGTCGAAAAACGTTGCCCGCTTAGTTTACCTTTTACGTACGTATGGAAATAAAAAGAAAAGTGTGTCGAGGCACCACTATCGTACTTTTTTTTAACATTTCTTTCGAACAATCGCCATGGCCCTATTTTTGAGCGATGGACAAATTGTGTGGGATCCAACGTGAACAAAATTTTTTTACAGTCAAATGTTTATGCAATATTAAATATATTAGTGGGACCAGACTAATGCCTATAGTTGCCTCAAGCTGACGATAGGTCACATGAAGATCTTACAGTTTGCGCAGAGCATCAATAGTTTCCGGAACAACAACTGATTTTAGAAGACTTTCTTGAAATTCGTTTTGGAGTGATCTACGACGCCGATTGTATTAACCATACCATCGATAAACACTAGTCTTTTATGGAGCTTCTTCGTCAAAAATTTAATTACGTTCATCGATACATTGTTGCTACGTCGAAAATTGTAAGAAATATTCGCGCTAAAATTTTTGCGATTTAATTCCATTTTTAGACCGAGATTAATCTTTTAAGTTACTGTAAATAACACAAATGGCGGTCGTATGTCAAAAAGTTCTGAGTATGTAAACCCCCTTAAAAGGTATATAATATTAAGTTTGCCACGAAATTTGTAAAATCCAGAAGGAAACGTCGGAGACTGTATAAAGTGTATACATAAATGATCAGCATTATGAGCTGAGTCGACTTAGCCATGTCCACCGTTATCGGACCACTATAGGATATAGCTATCATATAAACTGATCGATCAAAATTAACTTCTTTTATGGAAAGCTTTTGTTTTGAACAAGATAAATTCACGCAAGTTGACATGGCTTATTGCTTTGTGGGGAACCGCCAGCACTAGTAGAGAAACCTCTGTTAAGTTCATGGGGGGAAAGCTGAAGTCAGACCGTCGGTGGGCTGCCAAGATTTTGAAGCGCTACGATAAGAAATAAGCTGATCAGTATTGTGATCAGAAATGTTAAAAACTATAAACTATAATTTTATATACTGCTATTTCAATGCACTGAAAGTAGAGCGTGCCAAGGGATGTTCCTCCCAACACAGCTGTAAGATCTCAGGGTAAAAGCATTATACTGACTTCGTCCATAATATTGAGCTCGTTTCCTCTAAAAGTAGTAGTCTTTTACTTTGGACACCAACGGATGCAGCTTAACTTTACGTTGACAAAGTTGCGGATGAGCGCTGAACGTGCACGCTTGTCTGCTTTTATTGTCTCTTTGTATATTCTTATGCATTGAAATGCAACGGGCTACCTTAATTGTTGCTGGGCCAACTTTTCAGAAGCTAATAGACTTACCAGTTCAGCGAGCGAGGTCAGGTTGGAAACCTTGTCCGCGGTCTAAAGTACAAGGCTACTACACCGCCGTCATGCCTATGTATAAACAATCATAACTTTGGCTGATTCGTGCTTGACTTTCTTGATTAAACTATCTTTCTCTGCTCTTCCGAGTTCTGTAAGGCTTAGCTCGAAATACAAGAATGAATTATACTTGTAAGCTCTTAAAGTACAGTTTTTGCAAAATATTCAGTCTTTTGGTACGAGTACGTGACAGTTTACATATCAAAAACATTGTTTAGGATTTGTTGAATCGATTCATAAGAGATGGAGATCAAACTTCACGCATTAACATAAAAAAGGGTTGTACCAAAAATTCCAAAAAAAAATTTTTATCCATTTAAGTGTAACAGTACTATCAAAGAAAGCTAACATATATCACCGATATAAGTAAAGGTGTAAATATGATAAATACTCGCAGAACTAATCAATATCAATAACACGTGACCGTAAATAAAAGAATCGATGGCACAGCTGATAATACAAAACAACTCTCGTTATAAACAAATATAAAAATAGACATAAAGGTTACTGCTTTTTAAGCGAGAGCCGACAAATATAACACAGTTCACTCTCAAAAGCTTTTACCGCGTCGAATTCGACCAATAATCAGCGTCTGCGCGGGCAGAAACTGGTCGAAAAATGGTGACGCTCTTCAAGCCAGCAGGCCAATCGACAGAAAAGAGGCGGAGCTTAGCTGGCAGAGCATTTGCGTGAGAGTGTGAGAGCGCCATATCTGATACTGCCAGCGCGCATGTGTGTGCGTGTGTTTGTATAGCTGTGTATTTGCCGCTGCTTGACACACAGAGGGGTGGCTGGTCTGACATTAAAATCCAGCACTATGTAGAAAAAAAACGACTTTTTGACAACGCAAATGCGACAAAGTCGAGGGATGAGTAGCTGAGGCGAGTAACTACCACATACAGGCGCACCACAAATGGGAGCAACAGCAGCAGCAGCCGCAACAACAACAACGCAGCGCATACCATGATAAAGTCACGAGGACACATGAAATCAACACCCACAGAAGTCGCCATATCAAGAGCAGCACGAAGAGGCAACATCGACGCGCAGCGAGTATAATGCAGAGAAAACAAAAGCAAAAACAATAGCAAAGCTAACGCTATAGCTGTGCGTTCAAATGGCATGAGGTATTGGCTTTCTGTTGTATCAGTAATTTGGTGTGTGCCTTCAAGTGCGCGCTAACACACACACACACGTGCTTAAGTGTGGTTGCATATGTAATTTTGTGTGTTTGTGTGTTTGCGTGTGAGTGTGTTTGTATGTGAGTCCGTTTGTATGTGAGCGAGCTTATGCTGGCATGTTGGCATTGTTGCTTTACTGCTATTATCCTGGCACACAATGTGCCCTTACACACCTACAAGTAGATATGTGCGCGTGTGTGTGTGCGTTGCTTTGTTGTTGCGCCTGCCTGCTGCCTTGGCGGCCATGTGTGACTTTGCACTCTGACTGGTTAATATAACCGCAGGATTGTATTACGCCGTCATGTAGCCACTTACATGGACACCGTTGCTCCTACTGCTTGTGGCGCGGCACTTGATTACTGAATGGGTGTTCGCCAGTTATTGTTGTAGTTGAAGTATATGATCTGTGTAGCTACATAGTATGTATGTATACAAATTTATATACATATATATATATGTATATATGCATATCTGTGCTATACTATATATAATTAGATGCTTATTTAATAGTTTGGCACGGAAGCCGCATATACATAGAATTGGGAATCTAGAAATATATATGTTACATTTAGAACAATATATATACATACATATATATGTATATACAAAAGTACATACTTACTTTT